CACGTGTGTCAGAGCCAAACTGTCCCTGCAGGGTTTCCAATGGCTGCGATCTTTCAGAATAGTCTGCAGAGTGAAACAGCTGAGGTGCGACTAGGTGGACTTGAACCATCAACCTGTTAGTTAGTCATTGAGGGTTTAACCATTGGTACCACCCAGGGACTGCCTGGACCTTAGAAGCCACACACAAAGCTGTGAAAAAGACTTCTGACACAAACGCAAGTTATCAGTCTGTCTGCCTTGAATGTCCCAAACTGGCTAGGAGAGGAGGACCAAAGCGGGATGTTCTGAGGGAGCCAAAGCTCCCGCCAATGCCCAGGAGGTGGGGGCGGGCCAGTGCCAACCACTCAGAGACCAGGCTCCTGTGGGGCAGCCCGTGGTCCCCCACCCACCGCCCTTCGCCTCAGTGTTCTGCAGCTTTGCAGGCGTGGGTGACAATTAGCTGTATGACTTATGAGTGCAATATCTGGGAGATGAAGGCAGTAATTAACGCCCATCGGCCTTCTTGAAGGTTCCTTCTGTTCGGTCAGAGAGTTATTGAGACTCAGGGAGGGAGGCGTCCATCATGTGGAAGGTTTATAGGAATACATGAAGGAAGAATTTAATAAGGCAATAATAACGCTGCTAAATAATTTACCAGGCAAATGGCAGCAGCCAGTATTCCCAGCACTCAATACGGGGGGGGCAGATCCCACACAGGGCCTGGCAGCCTCCCCCAGGAAAGGCCACCTGAGGGCTCTGCTCTGGTGTCCACCTGCACGTCTACACGGCCAGAGACTCAGATGTGCTCTTACACCTATTAATAACTCGCTGCCACTGAGTTGATTTCCACTCATAGTGACATAGGGACATACAGTGACAGCAGAAGTGCCCATGGGGTTTCCTAGGCTGTCATCTTTATGGAAGCAGACTGCCACACCTTTCTGCTGTGGAGTGGCTGGTGGGTTGGAACCACTGACCTTTTGGTTACTAGCTGAGTCTGTAACCACTGCACCACCAGGGCTCCTCTATATCCACTAATACTTGTGCTAGATCAGTCATGGTCTGTGTGACGCTAAGAAGCTAACAGGCCTCCACCGTGCTGGCTCGGGTTCTGCTGGGTGACTCTGCCCATCCTCACAGCTGGGGAAGTGGAGATGGGTACCAGGCAATTAACCTGCTACCAAAGTCCCACTGGACTGCGATGGGGGACCTCAGATTCAATCCTACTAAAAACCAGATTCCAGGCTCTGGGTGGCACCAACGGTTACATGCTCACCTCCAGCTGAAACGCTGGCCGTGTGAACCCAGCCACAGGTGCCTCGGAAGGTGGGTCTGAAGCTCCTTCTGAAGGTTCCGAGCGATGGAGCTGTTTCACTCTGCAGACATGGGGTCATTGTAACTTGGAACCGACAGGACAGCAGTCCACAACAACATGGGCCAACCACCTGGCTTTATCGCCATCCTTGAAATTTCTCACTAAAACCAAATTCCTGATTGAGAATGCAAGAGGCCAGGCAGATCATCCGACAGCCCTGGGAACACAGAGGAAAACGAGCCTCTCTCACGGCCCAGACCCCAGACTTGCTCAGTACGTCTATGGGCGGGACTGGGGAGGCAGAAAGCCAGTGCGGCGGCCCTTGGGGTTAACGCATTCAGACCCAAAGAGCACAGCTGGCAGGGCCCACCAGCAGCTCTGCCCGAAGAGGCACAATTCAGTCCAGAGGCCGGTTCCTCATGAGGCGAGGCTCCCTCCCGCCCCCGCCCCCCCTCCAAATTAGCTAAGCGGCCACGTGTCAAACTGTGTGTCGTCTAGCACACCTGAATCTACGTCGAGGCTGAAGAGGACCAAGAGGAAGCAGAGGATATTAATAGATGCTGCAAAAGTTCAAGGGACACATTTCTGAGCTCCGTCCACAAAGCAGGCAGAGATAAGTAACTGCCTTGGGGTCTGTATCTTGTTACCCAAGACCCAGCCAGTACATGAATCAGTTCCACCCAGGGCCCAAAGCAATCAAGAAGCTCAGAGATTGAGCTTCTCTGTCTGCCGGGAGAGGCGAGGGCAGGAAGGTTCTTGGGCCGCTCCTCCCCTGTCTGGACGGCCTGTGCACCATCAGGGTTAACTGCAGACGAATCGGTCCTATCTGCCCACCAGAAGCTCCGTCATCTACCCACATGCTCTTGGCTGGCCAGCAGTAAGGGGCTGGAAGATCAGATGTGGCACTCTTATTGAACTTGGCTAGGAATGACCCTCACACGCAAATTCTACACACAGAGCTCAGAGCCCTGGAACTGCCAACGCCCTGAACACCAACTCCAGATCACAGATGACTTTGGGTTCTGGCCACCAGGACATTCTGGGGGCAAGAGTCTTAGAGAGGCTTAGTGCCAAGATCCATTTTCTGCCCTGGAGCACGGCCCCAGTAATTGATGAGAGTGATGCAGTAGCTGACCAGCGTGTGAGACGTGGGAACCCTCCTCTCTGGGGAAAGGACACTTCGAACAGCCTTGGCCACCAGGACGGGCCTGGGAGGGCTGAGCGACGGAGGGGCAGAGGGGAGGACACTCACCAGATAGATGCGGTAGGCGTCCACTCGGCGGATGGGACCCCAGCACAGGTCAGTGTCGTTGTATTTGGTATCGGCTTCCATACCGCAGGAGTCGTTGCCAGGGGTGCTGCTGAGAGAGAGGAGTGGCAGCCAGGGCAGCCGGGCATGGCCCGTCCTCCCGATTTGAAGGAGACAGATACCGCTGCTGTTGTTAGCTGCCATCGAGCCGATTCTGATGCATAGTGACCCCACGTCACAGAGTAGAACTGCCCCATAGGGGCTTCTAGGCTGTCACCTTT